ATCAATTGGTTGCCTCCTGCACATATCCCGGCTAGGGCAGGGGATAGAGCCTGCAACCGAAGTATGTGCCTTTGACCAGAATCGAATCCGGGGCCCTTCAGTCAGAGGGCCGATGCTCTAACCACTGAGCCAAACCGGATAGGCGGCAGTTCCATTTATAATTTTTTGAGATAACTCCATACTGTTTCCCACAGTGGCTGCGCGAATCTGCATTCCCACCAGCAGTGCACAAGGGGATTCCATTTTCTTCACACCTTCGCCAACATTTGTTGTTTCTTGATTTATTGACGATAGCCATTCTGACACTGTGAGGTGCTATCTCACTGTGACTTTAATTTGCAATTCTCTGATGATTAGTGACGCTGAACATCTTTTCATTGATCTACTGGCCATCTGTATGTCCTCTTTGGAGAAGTGTCTATTCAGCTCCTCTTTGGATTGTTTATTTGTTTGTTTTTGGTGTTGAGTTGTATGAACTCTTTATAAATTTTGGATATTAACCCCTAACTGAATGTAAGGGTTATATTGTCAAATATGTTCTCCCATTCAGATGGTTGTCTTTTCATTTTGTTGATGGTTTCCCTTTGCTGTGCAAAAACTTTTTAGTTTGCTGTAGTCTCTCTTGTTTTTTCTTTTGTTTCCCTTGCCTGAGGAGATATATCAGAAAAAATACTGCTACGAGAAAAGTCCAAAGTTTTACTGCCTGTGTTTCTTCTAGGAGTTTTATGGTTTCAAGTCTAACATTTAAGTCTTTATTCCATTTTGAGTTTATTCTTGTGTATGGTGTAAGAAGGGTGGTCTAATTTGTTTTTTTTTTACACATATTGGTCCAATTTTCCCAACACCATTTATTGAACAGACTATCTTTACCCTATTATGTTCTTGGCTCCTTTGTCAAATATTAATTGACTATAAAGGCGTGGGTTTATTTCTGGGCTCTCTATTCTGTTCCATTGATCTAAATATCTCTCTTTATGTTAGTACCATGCTGTTTTGATTACTATGGCCTTGCAGTATAGTTTGATATCAGGTAGCATGATACCTCCAACTTCGTTCTTTCTCAAGAGTGCTGTGGGTCTTTTGGGTCCTTTGTGGTTCCTTATAAATTTTTGAAGTATTTGTTCCAGTTCAGTGAAATATGCCATTAGTATCTTGACAGGAATTGCATTAAATCTATAGGTTGCTTTGGGTAGTATGGACATTTTAATGATGTTATTTCTTCCTATCCATGAACATGGTATATGCTTCCACTTATTCGTATCTTCTTCAATTTCTTTCTTCAGTGTCTTATATTCTCCAAGTATAGGCCTTTTACATTGTTGGTTAAGTTTATTCGTAGGTGTGTTTTTGGGTTTTTTTGAAGTAATTGTGAATGGGATTGTTTTCTTAGTTTCCCTTTCTGAAACGATTGGTGTATACAAATGCAACTGATTTCTGGATATTTATTTTGTATCCTGCTACTTTACTGAATTCATTTATCAGTTTTAGTAGTTTTTTGTGGAATCTTTAGGCTTCTCTATATACAGTATCATGTCACCTGCAAATAATGACCGTTGTATTTCTTAATTTCCAATTACGATGCCTTTTATTTCTTCCTGTCTGATTGCTGTGGCTAGGACTTCCAGTGCTATATTGAAGAAGAGTGGTAAAAGTGTGTCCTAGCCGGTTCTGGCTCAGTGGTTGAGTGTCGGCCCTTGGACTGAAGGGTCCTGGGTTCAATTCCAGCCAAGGGCACATACCTTGGTTGCGGGCTCAATCCCCAGCCCTGGTCGGGAAGCGTGCGGGAGGCAACCAATTGATGTGTCTCTCTCACATCAATGTGCAACACCGCCCCCCCCCCCCCAA